TGCTACATATATACATATAGAGCAATTACTTTTTACAAATTCAATGACGAAATGCATCCTTTATGAGGAGGTAATGTGCTGTATACAGGTGTTTGGACACACAAGCAGATGCTATCTAAATGAATCAGTCTATATTCATGCTGTTTTCAACCTCTTTGAGTTTGGATCATATAGAATAAATAAAGAATCTTACATGAGTGTCAGTGTAATATGAAATTTGTTTAACTAGTTTAACAAATTTCTATATTACATTGACACAAGTGTAAAGTTCTATTTATCACATAACTTTCCATGAGAAATATGCCAAAACTTGAATTTATTTCCCTATAAGAAAGGCTTTCTACTACGACGGAAACAATTTCCACGACTGAGACAATTCTGTGACGTCGTATTTTTATGACATCACAATAGTGTTATTACACATGTTTTATGCAGTATCAATATGACATAGCCACATTACATGTTAGAATTGGCCAGGTATGTGGTAATTGTTTATTCACATCAATTTTTGTTTATAGTACACTTTAACACTTTGAGATAGCTAAGCCATATTTCATTTCAGATCATTAACTTTGTTTCTGATTTTATTTTTCGTAATTCATATATTGAAAAGTACATTTTATAATGCATATTACATGTAATTGATTTTAAACTATTTGAAGACATGAAAAAAGAAAAAGCTGTCTAAAATGGATGGAGTTGCTTTGCATTAAAACTGAATTAAGAAAACCTTGTTTTTTTAATGAAACAGGGTATGACTTGTAAAGTGTTACATTTCCTGTGGTAAAAGCTGGTATCTTATAGAAAGTATGTCTGCTTCCATTTACTTAAATATGTAGACCTCAGTCTAGATTTTTTCTTTTACAGCAAAGCTTTCTAGAACCATGAGAAAAAAATTTAAAGATGACCTCGGAAGGATCATACAGAGCAGTAAGTGTTATAGTGTCATGACCTAATCATTATTTCCTGTATTATTTGAAGCAAATTTATGTATTTGATAATAAATTATCTAATTCAATGGAACTACTTACAGCAAATGACCTGATGAAACCTAAGGCATCAGTTACAACAGAAGATACCATCACACGGGAGGACCCATGTACAGAAATGGTTGCATCATCCGAGTCCCCATGTGTGTCTTCAGAAAATAACCTTCTGAAACCTAAGGCACCGGTTACAACAGAAGTTACCATCACACAGGAGGACCCATGTACAGAAATGGTTGCATCATCCGAGTCCCCATGTGTGTCTTCAGAAAATAACCTTCTGAAACCTAAGGCACCGGTTACAACAGAAGTTACCATCACACAGGAGGACCCATGTACAGAAATGGTTGCATCATCCGAGTCCCCATGTGTGTCTTCAGAAAATAACCTTCCGAAACCTGAGGCACCTGTTACAACAGAAGTTACCATCACACAGGAGGACCCATGCACAGAAATGGTTGCATCATCTGAGTCCCCATGTGTGTCTTCAGAAAATAACCTTCCGAAACCTGAGGCAACAGTTACAACAGAAGTTACCATCACACAGGAGGACCCATGTACAGAAATGGTTGCATCATCTGAGTCCCCATGTGTGTCTTCAGAAAATAACCTTCCGAAACCTAAGGAACCAGTTACAACAGAAGTTACCATCACACAGGAGGACCCATGTACAGAAATGGTTGCATCATCCGAGTCCCCATGTGTGTCGGAAGTGCTGCTGTCAGAAACTGTTTCTTGCAGAGGCATACTATGTTCTGGACTTACTCCTGATCAATTGGTAAACATTTAATATTTAATAATATTAGATTCAAACAAGTAGATAGCTGAAATGGGAAGGTGAAATGATTCTATTTTCTGATGAATTTGTTTTATCAGTTCTATCATGATCTTTAATATAAACTAGATATATCAGAAGATAGATAAAGCATCAATAATGGTATTCCTTTGATTCTATGAACAATTAATAGAGAGACACGTTTCAAACAAAATATTCCAGTTTCTTAAATGAAAATGAAACCATTTCTGGTTTCTAGACAGATATGTTGGATCTCAACATATAAGTCCACTTGTAGTTTCACAGAATTTTTATCCACTGTAAACTCTGGAATATTGAATTTCAATGTTTATTCTTTTATTACATAGCATTCTTCTAATTAAAGTAGGAAAATACAGTTTTAGTTTTTAAAATATAATAAACAATTTGTTTTTCTGACAGAAGGAAACCTGGATGGTAGCATCAGAGAATGACGTGCAATATTACAGAGAATTCAGTCCATGTGTAACACATGTTGTTGTGCACACAGGTACTCATTGTCAAGTTTTTGTTACTGCTTAATACATATATATATATATATATATATATATATATATATGTAAATATTTATGTTGTATGCATTTCAAGTTCACCTAAACTGAAGGCTCAAGCTAGTTAGACTATATCTATAACATATCATATGTATATGTCTAGGATAGAAATATCACATCAGAGGGTACAGAATTTGAGGCAAAAAAACGAGGTTTGTGGAGGTTTTTGAACACAAATTATATACCTGAGGGTGGGATATTTCTATCCTACATAATTTAAACATATCATGGTGTTATTTTCTTACATAGCATACCTATTTATTTTATCGAGATGGGTAGTAGCAATCTTTGGGCTGAACATCAACTTCTTTGATGAACCAATTTTAAAATTATCTATACTACTGGAACAAGCAGGTTTTGGTTTATACTGAAAGTATGAACACATTTGAATGAACACAGCAATAGTTGTAAATTAGCATCTTGAACTGAAAATTAAGATTCAGCAAAATGGTGTAAAATGACTTCAACTTCCCATATCATGACGTTATTGTGATGTCATACCCATGCAGGATCCATTCATCTTACATGACCTTACACCATTGAAAAAACTATATCTTACATGGACAGCTATGTAAGAAATTGCCATCTTCTTTATTTTCTGTCGTCTGTTGTTAGCCACTCCACATTTTCAAATTCTTCCCAAGAATTACTGTAGCAAATAATCTTTATTTGATTTGAAGCTATTTTTGGGTTCAAGTAAGTAAGTAAGTAAAAGTTGCTGGATCTTCTAGTAGCCCAAAAATGAAAGTCTGATATACATGTATAAACAAAACATGCAGTATACTGGCACCATCTTCAGTGGATGTGCAGTTCACTGCCATTAGGTCACTCGAGGTCAAAGGCCAAGTAAGTGAGATTTCCTCAATAATTTCTTCTCCGGACCTTTTGAATTGATATAGATATCTTGCTGTGGATTATGAAAGTTAAGAATTGTGTGAAATGTCAGTTCAGTTATGCAAAATGCTTTAAAAGGTACATATTTTTTTTTCAAAATAATTGATTTCTGTTGTTTTGGAGAAAAAATTGTCCTTTGTTCATAAAACATTATTAAGAAACATTATACAACTGTACCAATATTTGTCTTTCAGATCCAGTACGTATTGCCACAAGAACAGTGAAATATTTTTTTGCCATTGCTAATCATTGCTGGATTCTAGATTATAAGTGGATAGAAGACAGCAAGCAAGCAGGACACCTGTTACCAGAGGTATATTAAACTTTGTTATAACGAGATGTCCTAGGAAATTCTTGCAGTTTTTATTCTATATTTGCCCTTTCACAATAAAATAATGAAGCAGCAGGAAACAAAAATATGTTGAGAGGATGATATTTATTGAAGGCCAAGGCTAAATATCCCTGGGTCAAGAAAAGACGATGAAATCCAACAATTATTGTACGATTACAATCAATCCAGTAGATAATCTTATATGCAAAGATAATGAAATAATGACTGTTTAAGGTTAAAGTAATAGAAAAAATAATAATGCTGTGTTTGACGTTTAAGTTTTGGCAAGACTTTAATTTGTTGGTTATCTTGGAATCAAACACATGTTAGATAAGATATGGAAAGAAGAGAAGACTTGTAAAATCTGTTACAAACCTCAATGGGTATTCGTATTGAATATGCTACAGTGTACAAATATCTATAGTGCCATGTTTTAGATAAAACAAAAAAACATACTAGATTATTAAGAGAATCAGTTTTGCTTTTACTTTCACTAGGAAGATTATGAGATAATTGTGGATTCTACAACTGGAACAAAAATTCAAAGGCCAAAAGCTTCACGCATGACGGGTTCGTCGCTGCTGACAGGGTATGAAATATACTGTGATGAAAAATCAAGTAAAGATATTGACACAGGTGTGTATGCATTTACTTGCAATTACTTTGATTATTTTTCTTGACTTTAATTTTTATCAGGAATATTCCATTTAAATGTATAGCCAACACCAAAAGTTTTTAGAATAAATCATATTGGTTTGATGTTTGAGTTTAGAACAAAATTTTAACCCCAGGTCATACGGTATGTTGGGGAAAAAAACTACAAAAAAAACACATTAATAATAAAAACAATAATGACATCCATGGTTTGGAGTATGAATTTAAGTAGAATAGCCCTATTAAATCATCTATGTAAGATATACAAGATACATATACATAGATCAGAATTATTATGAATAATTGAAAGTTCAGGATATCATACAGGTAATTTTATTATCATGAATTGTCCATGGATGAATTTAAATATTTTTTTCGTACAAAGAGTTTAAACACATTGGTGTATCAATGTTAATTGTTGCAATTTTCAAGAACTTACATTATTCTTTGTAGTTACTATGACAAAATTGCTACTTGAATGTGGAGGTACCGTAGCACGAAGTCTCTCAGATTTCTCAAACAAACATGTGAAACAGCTTATAGTGACATGTACTGAAGATGATGATGTGACACCTGAGGATGTTGAAAAATACACTGGTAAATACATTTGTAAGAAATTATTTATAAATACGCAAAGACACACAGGGAGTTAATTAACTATAAGGAGTGTTGGTTAAAATTTGTATTTTTTTTAGATACGACATACAATATGTTAAGTTAACTGGAGGTATGTATACAATATATGTATACACACACGTTCAGTACAAGACATGGTCAGAGGTACACAGAATGATCATACTTTTATTGGTTAGTCATATTTTGTGATTGGTCAGTTTTTTGTCTTTTAGGTAAAGTTCTTGGGAGTTTTGCAATATTGTTTGATATTATCCACCATCTATCCCCCCTACCACACCACACTCCAGTTATACATTTTGGCAGAGAATTTTAGACAGACCTTGTAATGGTGTGTGCCAATCCAATATCTGTCTAGATCTTGGGTTCTCTTGTTATAAGGCCTAGAATCAGAATTTGGAACATCTGTTGACATAGGAATGATGGAAGGTTCATATCTTTCTTGATTTGTTAGACACTCAAATCATAATGCTATCTCAATGTATTTGATATTTTATTTTCAGAGATTTACAAGAAGATTGGAATTGTGACAGTAGTTCGTGACTGGGTCTTTAATTCACTTTCATTATACAGTGTGCAGCCATTAGATGAATACAAATTTACTGCAGAGGAAAACATGGTAATAATATAATGAATTTTAAATGTTTCTGATTTCAGTGATATTTTGTGGTTTGACTGGAAATGATGTAGGACATTGAATGCATTTTTAGCTTTACTGGTCAAAAATATGGAGAGCTGATGTTATAACCTGTCGGCTGTTGTTGGTTCTCCATCTGTTACACATTTTCCTGCAGGCTGGCATCCCCACTTGGGCTGAATGCTACATCTGAAGATCTTCATGTATGCAATAACCATGACCTTTAATTGATACTACTTGAATTTACACATGACCCACCCCTTAGACTTTGTCCTCTGTCCTCAACCCAACCATATATATGTGTGATGGGCATAAAGAGATGAACACACTAATGCTATGAGGCTTAGCTCTGTGATTTTATTATAATGGCTTTTTTTTCAGTCTGAAGATGATGAGAATGATGCAAGCGACAAGGACAGTGAGATGGATTTTTTTGGTTGCGGTGATGATGATGAGAAAGATCCAGATTATGCAGATTTGGAGTCGGAATCTAAAGAAGAAGAAGAATATGTGTCAGATTCATCAGGGATATCAGAATTATTCCCAGTTCAAAGTAATTCCAAGTCAGTTGAAGCATTGCGCAAAAAAAGAGCCAATATAATTACTGAAAAAGAACAGAAACCATTGACAGTAGACCCATATTCAGCAACTGGCATAGATCCTGTTAGAGTACAGGCAAGCAAAAATAAGGATGGCATCAGAATTTGGGATAAAATTCATTATTGTATGTACTGTGGAGAAGGATTTACAAACATTACCAAACATTATCTAGGACCCCACAAACAGGAAATGGAGGTGCAACGGATCTTGTCCTTACCCTTGAAGTCAGAAAAAAGAAAATTGGCATTGATGAAACACAGGAATAGTGGAGATTATAAACATAATGTTGAAGTGCTAAAGAATGGAACTGGAACATTGGTTACATGGACAAGAAAAGATAAAACAACAACCACAGCAAAAGAATACCTGCCTTGTGAAGATTGTCTAGCCTTTTTCTTGGATAAAAATTTGTGGAGACATAGGAAAATTTGCCCATTTCGAAAAAATGATAGGAATCAAAAAAGATTAAAGTCACAGGCATCTCTTCTGCTGCCAAGTTCAGTTGTGATCAGTGAGGGTCTTCAAAGAAAGGTGTTGAGTCGTATGAATACCGATGAAATTACTATGGTTGTGCGAAATGACCCAGTCATTTTACGTATAGGGGAAAATTGTTCCAGAAACATGGTCACCTACCTCATCTGTATCCACATGTTAGTCAAAAAATGAGAGAACTTGGACGGTTTTTAATTTCGGTAAGGAAACAAGACACAGAGATAAATTCGCTGTCAGATGTACTTGTCCCCAAAAATTTTCCACTTGCTGTAAATGCAACAAGAAAGCTCTGCGGTTACGTTGAAGAAAACAACAAGTACAGCAATCCTTCTCTGGCACTGAAAATTGGACACCTGTTGAAAAAATGTGCAAAGGTAAAGAAGGCAATGTCTTTGATATCTGCTGACACTCAATCAGGATCAAATGCTGATGCATTCCTCACATTGTGTGAAAGTGAATGGAGCGATGATGTGTCCATCGCTGCATTACAGACTCTTAGCTCAGAGAAGAGGAACAAAGGATCTATCTTGCCACTGACAGAGGACATCACCAAAATTCAAAGATTTCTGAAGGAGAAGTCAAGCTCATTGACAGCAGGTATGGAGGAAAAGTTCTCAAAGCAATCTTGGGATATGCTGAATCAAGTAACCCTTGCAAGTGTTGTACTATTCAATCGAAGGAGAGAAGGGGAAACGTAACGGATAACACTGAAAAATTACTTGGACGGAAAAAAGAACCCAACATCTTCTTTACAAGAGATTGAAGATTCTCTCAGTCTTGTGGAGAAGATGCTATGTGATACATTTGAGAGAGTAGAAATAAGAGGAAAGAAAGGAAGAACAGTGCCAGTTCTACTTACACCTTGTTTGATTAAGAACATTGATTGCCTTATGAAATACAGAGAGGAGTCTGGTGTTAGTAAGGAAAACCCTTATCTATTTCCACGTTCATCGTTTGAATCCCTAAACCCGATAAGGAGTGCAGATTGTTTACGGCGGTTCGCACAAGATGCCAGACTTGAGAAACCAGAAAACCTCACCAGCACACAGTTAAGAAAACATGTGGCAACTATTTCACAAGTACTGAACCTCAGCAAATCCGACCTGGAGAACATGGCCAATTTTCTTGGACATGACATAGAGATTCATAGATCCTTCTATAGAATTCCACAACAAACTCTTGAGATTGCAAAAATGGGAAGACTTTTGACTGCATTTGACAATGGAACTGTTAGCAAATACAGTGGAAAGACACTGGATGAAATCCCAGTTGATGATGTTGAAGGTAAGTGTAATGATATGGTTGGTAAGGCAACCTGAATATAATTTGTTCATGATTTAGTGATTTATAGATAAGTCTCAATTTAAAAATATTGCAAACACTAATTTAAAGTACACCGACATAAAGGCGAAGCTTTGTTGTTTTATTTCCAATCTCTAATTTGTCATCAAGGCATCAAATTAAAATTTCAAAATGTATGATATGTAGAAATTATTGTTGATAAACTTGCATAGTTCTATTTGCAAAGCTAGAATAACATGTATGAAATATAGCAACATTTTCCTTAGGAGTACATTTCAGAGTTCATTTATTGTATTGTGCTATGTAACAAAACATTTAAATATATTTCTCTGTACCAAGATTTAATAATATCAACCACTTTTATTCATTACAGAATTGCAGCTTGATGGTAATATAAGCAGTGATGACTGTTTTGAGAGTGACTCCGAGAAAGGTAATACACCTTTTTAAAGGGCCATCCCTCAGGTGTCCAACTATTTAATTTAAATGACTTCGTCTCAATAACAGGAGGATCCAGTGTTTATTTGGCCTCTAGGTATCTGGCTGTGTCATAGGGTATTGTATGACATTGGCCTTCATTCAACGTCAGAGGCATCAAATACGTTTAAAACTTTAAAGAAAGATTTTCTAAGCAACCAGAAGGTCTCGAGAAATGATTTAAGTTTTCTGATTTAGTTTTTATCAAAAAAGAAAAAAAAAATAACATGAATTTATATATTTTCTTTTCAAGTGTCTGGTCACCAATTGTTTGACTGCAGCAAGAAAGGAAATGGTTGTAGTTCGTCTACTAAGAAAGGTAAGTTATAACCAGAATAGCTGTCAGACAAAGTCCTATATTTTCTGGTAAAAGCTTGCAGTTAATTTCACTTTTACAAAATCTTTGTAGCTCACACATTCAGTGAAAGGCAAACAATTACTTGGGAAATATTTGTTTATTTTACCTAATTGCAATGAACGACACTGCCCATTAGAGAACTTTTGTACGCAGAGTCTCTATATTGAAAAATACCACAATAAATATAGAATGTTGAATCACGTGTACATTACAGTGAAATGTCACTTAAATCCATAGAAGTATCAACATCGATATTGATCCTGTCTGTAATTAGGTGACTTCTACACCTCTTTGTTGTTTACATAGTATAATACAATCACCGTCATTTCCTGACTTCTGATTGGTCAAAATTAAGATGTTTTCTGATATCAACAAAAATTAGAACATAATGGTAACATTTTCAAAAAGCTTGGATGCCATGGTAACTAAATGGAGGCTTCTGATTGGTCGAAATTTAGATGTGGTATGATTTGAACAAAAATTGGTACATACAGTATATTGTAAAATGATTTGGGTTTTTTTGTTTTTTTATTTTTTGCCATTACAGAGAAGGTCAAATTGTCCACATGTCAGAGTGACACTCTTCGCAGAGAATTTCAGGAAAAGATAAACTTACAAACGGAGTTGAAGCACGAGGACTGTATGAAAGCAATCAACAAATACAGTTGTCTACAGCCACTGGGATGGAAAAAAATAAAAAACACTATACACAATTGGATCACACAGGAAAAAAGAAGGACAAAAACAATTTTGAAACAGAAAAACTGAGATGTGTTTGTAATGAGCTGAACTTGTGTCAGAAGTGCCAATTGAGTGTATGCCAAGGTGCGGCCTCCATCTTCCATCAAATTTTATTTCAAACAACTTCTTCTGAATAACCACAAGGCTTAAGTTGATAATATATGGCCAGAAGCCTGTGTTAATGAATTTTTGATGACTTCTTAAGAATAACCAAAAGTTTAGAAGTATGCTATAAAGCTATAAAGTGTGTTAAATTTAATGCCCTTGTTCAACTTTTAAGGTCACTGGTCCTATATGTTTAAATCTTTTCATAGAGTCTTTTGAATCAAATAGTGATATTTTATATGTAGTTTTATTTTGGTCTAGTCCACTTTTAAGATTACAAGTGTGAGATTCAGGCCCAATGAGCTTCTGAGACTCTTATTATCTTTTTATCCATATATTTCAAAGAATGAATGTTTCTTTTGTTTTTGAGATGTGATTTGTTTCTTTTGCTGCTCTGGGGTGTAGTTTCTGGACTTTTCATCTATACAATGGCAGAATGAAAGAGTTAAATATTTCAGCTCTCTCCTTCAGTGTAGTAAAATATGGTTGGTATGTATCCAAACACAACGTGTCTGTCACATGCTGAATGAGTCTACATAATTTCTCTGTACATACATTTTGACCATGGTCAAAGACAAACTTTGTTTGTACCTTATCTTTTAGCTGACGAAAACATGGAATGATGACTTTTAGCTTATATGCATGTACCACTACATTTGTGAATGGCAAAGTATTGCTGCCAAATATAGTGCTCTACATCTATGTTGCAATACTTTGCCTCTGTACTTGTTACTAAAATTTAGTTGATTTTGATGTTGATTTATCTGGCTCCAGGAGTTGTATTCTTCATGATGATGAGATATTATGTCAAATCTTGAAATATTGCAAGAATTATTATCCCCCCTAATCAAGGTCAGCATTGCTATAAATATAAATTCTGTTTCCTCACTCTCACTTGAGTTCTCTTTGGCGAATTATGCTTCAACTTCATACATTGCATCCTTACTTATGATGCTTGCTTGGGAGTGCTTTTCAGGTCCAAGTGTCAAAGGTCCAAAGTCAAGGTCACCATTGCAATCTGGGTTTCCGCACTTTTAACTTGAAATTTCCTTCTTACTGAAGGGTCTAGCTTGGAATTGCTTTTCAGGTCCGAGAGTCAAAGGTCATGGTCACCGTTGCTATAAATAAAAATTTGGTTAATGTGCTCCAACTCGTGTCCCTTGGGCCGATTACACTCAAACGTCATACAGTGCTTCCTTACCGAAGGGACTTGCTATAGCTTTTCAGGTCGGAAAGTCAACAGTCAAGGTCACCGTTACTAAAAATAGAAATTTTGTTCGAATGCAATAACTTCGAGTTGTCATGTACACCATTTATGGTACGTCTCACGTTAGAAGGTGATAGGTCAAGGCTACTGTTAAAAATCTTCACTTTTAATGGCTCCCGATGTTCAAAGGTCAAGTTCACTTAAATGCTAAGATTATGCCATCTCCCAACCTAAACAGCAATCCGGGGGATTAGTATCGTTCACTGATACATTGTTTCGTTTCAGTTATTTTTCCTGTGCTTGTTAAAATAAATAAGCAATTCAATTAAAACATGATATTACAATGTTTATTATATTTGGCTTTTTCTTTACCTAGAAAATGGACAATACATAAACGTTCCCCAACGAGTGATGGTTTGTTTTCATGTTTATATAACTCGAACGTTAATTTTCAAATCGTATAACGACAGGAGACTTATCTTACTGAGTTAAACATGATAACCAACTACCACAACTTACGGACCTTTTTCTCCCACAACGTTCATATCATATCTGGAAAACTATCTGTTTCTGTTGCAAATAACATTATTCCTGTTATTGATTGAGACAACACTCATGACAGAAAATAACATCACAAAGCATTGTTACACAACGTCATAGATAAAGCACAGACCCAAGAAATCGCATCCAGGGTGTAACAACTAGTGGGTAACCAAAAAAGTTACCAACTCCAAGCAATTTTACCCAATGAGTCGGGAGTAAGAAAATTTGTTGTGCTTGTAGGCTGCTACAGAGCTCATAAGTGGTATGTACCTCGGTAGGCTGCTACAGAGCTCATAAGTGGTATGTACCTCGGTAGGCTGCTACAGAGCTCATAAATGGTTTGTACCTCGGTAGGCCACTACAGAGCTCATACATGGTATGTACATGTACCTCGGTAGGCTGATACAGAGCTCATAAGTGGTATGTACCTCGGTAGGCTGCTACAGAGCTCATAAATGGTTTGTACCTCGGTAGGCTGCTACAGAGCTCATACGTGGTTTGTAAATGTACCTCGGTAGGCTGCTACAGAGCTCATAAATGGTTTGTACCTCGGTAGGCTTCTACAGAGCTCATAAGTGGTATGTACATGTACCTCGGTAGGCTGCTACAGAGCACATAAATGGTTTGTACCTCGGTGGGCTGCTACAGAGCTCATACGTGGTTTGTAAATGTACCTCGGTAGGCTGCTACAGAGCTCATAAATGGTTTGTACCTCGGTAGGCTTCTACAGAGCTCATAAGTGGTATGTACATGTACCTCGGTAGGCTGCTACAGAGCACATAAATGGTTTGTACCTCGGTGGGCTGCAACAGAGCTCATAAGTGGTTTGTACCTCGGTAGGCTGCTACAGAGCTCAGAAGTGGTATGTAAATGTACCTCGGTAGGCTGCTATAGAGCTCATAAGTGGTATGTAAATGTACCTCGGTAGGCTGCTTCAGAGCTCATAAGTGGTATGGACATGTACCTCGATAGGCTGCTTCAGAGCTCATAAATGGTTTGTACCTCGGTAGGCTGCTATAGAGCTCATAAATGGTTTGTACCTCGGTAGGCTGCTACAGAACTCATAAGTGGTATGTAAATGTACCTCGGTAGGCAGCTATAGAGCTCATAAGTGTTATGTACCTGCGTAGGCTGCTACAGAGCTCATAAATGGTTTGTACCTCGGTAGGCTACTACAGAGCTCATACGTGGTATGTACATTTACCTCGGTAGGCTTCTACAAAGCTCATAAGTGCTTTGTAGCTCGGTAGGCTGCTCCAGAGCTCATAAGTGGTATGTAAATGTACCTCGGTAGGCTGCTACAGAGCTCATAAGTGGTATGTACCTCGGTAAGCTACTACAGAACTACCCGTGTGTGCATTGATCCCTTATATGGTAATACCCCGCAACTACTTTGTTCTGTTTTCCGTACCTCTGTTTTAATGCATAGTGTTCATTAGTTTTATTCAAGCTTCGATCCTTCTTTTTACAAGGTGAAGTATTTTTCATACACGGAACAATTTCACCTTTAGTTTCAGGTGCCAAGATTATGACCTTTACATTGGGAAAGAACATACCTCGGCATGTCAGTGTAATGAAAGGTACCTCTCGATGTAAGGAAAACCAGTATGTGTGTGTGTGTGTGTGTGTGTGTGGTGATGGTGTGTATGTGATGGTGGTGGTGGTGGCGTGTGCGGTTGGTGGTGGCGTGTTTGTGGTGATGTTGCCGTTTAGGTGTGATGGTGATGGTGTGTGTGTGGTGGTGGCGTGTGTGTATGGTGGTGACGTGTGTGTGATGGTGATGGTGTGTGTGTGTGTATGTGTGGTGTGTGTGTGTTTGGTTGTGGCGTGTGTGTGTGGTGGTGGTGGGGTTTGTTTGGTGGTGGTAGTGGTGGCGTGTGCGTGTGGTGATGGTGACGTGTGTGTGTGGTGGCGGCGAGTGGTGATGGTGTTTATGTGTTGTGTTGGCGTGTGTGTGAGGTGATGGTGGCGTGTGTGTGTAGTGGTGGTGTGTGTGGTGGTGGTGGTGGTGTGTGTATGTGGTGGTGGTGTGTGTGTGTGTGTGATTGCGGCGTGTGTGTGGTGATGGCATTTTTGTGTGGTGGCGGCGTCTGTGTGGTGGTAGTGACGTGTGTGTGTGGTGACGAGTGTGTGTGATGTCCGTGTGTGGAGGTGGAGTATGTGTTTCTGGTGGCTTGCGAGTGGTGGTGGCGTGTGCGGTTGTTGGTGATGTGTTTGTGGTGATGTTGCCGTTTAGGTGTGATGGTGATGGTGTATGTTTGTGTGTGGTGGTGGCGTGTGGGTATGGTGGTGTGTTGTGTGTGGTGGCGGCGTTTGTGTGTGTGAGTGGTGTGTGTGTGTTGGGTTGTGGCGTGTGTGTGTGGTGGTGGTGGGGTTTGTTTGGTGGTGGTAGTGGTGGCGTGTGCGTGTGGTGGTGGTGGCGTGTGTGTGTGGTGGCGGCGTGTGTGTTGATGGTGTTTGTGTGTGTGGTGATGGTGTGTGTGTGTGTGTGTGCGTGCGTGCGTGCGTGCGTTTGTGTGTTTCTGATCTGTGGAACAAGATTTTCAAGAGTGGCGTACTCCCTATTCGACTTTGTTAAATTATCAACAATTTTAATACAGCCATATTTGGGTGCAGGTGTAACACGCGATAGATAAATTATTAATCACATAGCAATCAGTCAGATTTCGAAATATAGCAATGTTTTCACCAAATAAATCTAAATTTACATAATAACACGGGCATTAAACTTCTCACACTTATACACGTTCATTACTTAAATTAAAATTTCCGTTCGAGCGTCATGTTTAATGATATATACCAAGGAAAAGATTACGTTAGCTACATTGTCTGAGTAATATCAATGAAGCTCTAAAAGTTTGGAACTCTGAAGTGTTTTTATGTACTCGTTGGCAACAGTTACTGGTAAGCACACTTCCAAAATCGAACATTGGGTCTATGTCTGTCGACATTACTGACCTACATGTATAACTATGTTTTATTTTTTTATGATATTGTTACAGAGTACATTATCCTCCCAATACAGCATACTTGCATACCAACGACAGCACTTCTAGACGATATGTCGAGACGTTAATATGCCATTAACAGTGAAAGTTCAGCTCAAATTTATATTGTAGTTGATCATTCTTGCTTAAATCACATTTAAGTTTGGAATTATCTGATTTGTGATACCATTACAAATGACAATTTCCAAACCAACAGCACTGTTAAGAGTACATTCAAGAGACGTTCTATAAAGGGATAAAGAAACGTAGGGTGACATTATTTGCAATATCTTGCGAACGCATGGTTCAAAAACAAAGAAAATAGGTCAAACAACTCTTTAGGTTACAGTTCACGTGGTCCTGTATCGAATGATGTATAGTTATATTGCGTTACGATGTCTTACGGGGAAAGCACGAAACGGGAAATCTCGTGCACAACAGTGTAGTGACATTGATTTAAACTGCTTGTCATAACATTAGGTAGTCTTCGATGATTATGCAAAGTCAAACGCAAATACAGGTTGCCAGACATTTCAGTGTCCATATTTGTATTATAGAACGTCTTGTGAGACACTGGGAGGGTTGCTGACAGACCTAGGTCTGGGCGTCCGAGCGCGACTAGTTCTGAAACCTCCAAGGGATCTACCCCTGAAATCAGAAAATGAACAAAATTCATATTAAATATAATATATCACAGTCTTGTCAGTTGGTGATGTCACATGTACATTTATGCACATGTAAAAATGCATTTGCCATGATAAAATAAATCCATCCATGTCTTTTTCATAAATTTTAAATGCATTGTCCTATATAATCTACAAATTATGTACTATTATAGTGACATATATTCTTAAAATAATATTTCAAACAAAGTTATACGAAAACAAGACAGAAAATAAAGAAGTCAGTGTAGATTTTGGAGAATCAGTTTTGCCCCAAAATCCACAATTGCACATCCATTCCTGAAGACATCAAGATATCCCAAGCTAAAGCAACAGAAATCGAAGAGAACACTCGCCAACAAAGTAACTGTGAGCTCTGGCTTCGACAGAGAAGTAAAAGGCTTTCAGCATCAAAATTTCATGAGATTTCAAGAAGGAAAACCATCAACAATAAATATTTGGACAAACTTTTTTTCAACCAAGTCATTGAATGTGATTGCAACACAGTATGGCATTTAGAAGGAATGTTCAGCTAAGCAGAAGTACATCAACAAGACTGGAAGTCATGTACATGATTGTGAACTTGTAATCAACCCGGTATTTCCATTCCTAGGAGCCACCGCTGATGGTCGTGTATTTGACCATGGTGCAACAGGCATTTTAGAAATTAAATGACTATATAGTGCTAGGAATATGAATGTGAAAGAGGCTATAGAAACCCTACCAGACTTTTTCTTAGAATGTGTTGAAAATGGCATCAGACTTAAGAGGAAACACATACACCACTGTCAGGTTCAAGGCCAATTAATAATTACAGGTGCTCCATTTTGTGACTTTGTCGTATTTACTTCAAAAGACTTGTACATTGAAAAGATTCTTCCAGATCATTTATTCATGAAAAATCTGCTAGATAAACTGTGTTATATCTATTTCAAACATGTCAGAGATTATCTTCAAAAATGCTGAAAAATGGTTGAGTCTATTTACATTGTCCTTCTGTTTGACTAGATGTGTTTTTTGTGTCATTTTCTTCTAGATCTGTAGATTCTTCTATTGTTGTTTGTTCAAGCTCCACCAAACTGTCATATTCTTGTCTACAATTATATATATAAGAAATGTTGACCAAATAACAAGAAGACCATTTCTCAGGGCTTTTTTTGTCTCATACAGTATTTTAATATATTTTATGCATCAGCAATGAAATTTTAATGCAGTGTGAAAATTATATATGTATTATAAATACATATTTTTGATGTGATGATTGAATTTCATTTGTGATAACTATAAAGAATATTGTATAAATACTGTGACATGAAAAAAGAAATGACTGTGTTTATTCATTAAAGCACAAACTTTGACATGAAAAAACAAACATTTAAATTCAAACTTCACAGTGAAGGTTAATTCAAGGTTGATAGAGAATATAATGTTACCTTGTTGGAGAAGGTAGAATAAGTTTTCTACTCTTGAATGGTTGACGCACTGGGTTCTGAACTTTTTGTGTTTCTTGTAATGGGTATGGAAATTAAGTGGTAGGGCCGTTTCCTCCAATGAAGTGCTGTTGATATAATTAAAAATAATTGTATTTTATGCCTACATAATGGGCACTACCATGATGCTTACAGTTGATCAAGGTCTGTTATCCTGACTATTGTACTATCTTACACCTTGCATCGGTAATAATTCAAGGAAAACATATGGCCTCAGAATAAATATAAACATCGGACAACAATATTTTACATAAGAAATTATATCGTATTATAATCAAAGAAAGTATCAAGTTACGGAAAGCGAAAACATACCTTTGAACACACGTATGTATGTTTGTTAATGTTGACAACATTCAGCTGATCGTTAGGTCTGTTGCAAACTTTGATCCACTTCAGACATCGACAGATGTTGGTTTTCGGCTTGGGGAACGGCACGAAAAAGACATCTTTCACTCGCTCTGTGCATCTATTATCGGAATTACATACACCATATGCATATCTCTTGACCATGATAACTTCAAATCATTGAAAATACGCAAGCGGGTTTTCCTTCAATACCGGTTGCTTATCGGAAGTAATGGCGGATGTGATGCCGTAGTCTCTGGCTAAATGGCATTATTTTTTTCATTAGTTAATATTTTCAAAAGGGGCGGAGTCAGCGATGGATCAATTCACAATAGATTGTCCAGAGAACAGGGTAACCGAAGAACAATCCAACAATGTTTTCCTCGCTGGGTATATGTAAGTGCAAGTCCACAAGGCACTTTCACTAAATCACTGTAAAAGTCCACACTTCAGAGACTGACGTCTCAAAGTAAGCTCACTCAAGGCGTTAATAGGGAGAATCTTGATGACGTCACAAAGTCACGTGATTTTGCGTGCTAGGCAAAACAAGTGTACTCCACGCTGTCCGCCATTGCTTGTTTACAGTTTGTTAGTCGAAATACGCCTCTGTTTGTACTAAGATTGTGTCGACATCTTGCTGTGTCATTGGTTGTACCAGCAGGGATGATGCAAAGACAAAGTTGTCCTTCATAGATTTCCAAAGAAACCGGGGACAAGACGACTTTGGTTGGTTGCATTGAAAATAAAAGATTGGAGCCCGAACAACTGTCACCGTGTCTGCGGACGCCATTTTATCAACGGTGTGTAATCCTACGTCGATAGATATATTTACATTTTACGTTTATGTGTAGACACTAAAATGTACAAGAAGATTGATATAATTTCCATGGTATACATGTATAATAAGTCAGTGTATAACGATCTTGGACAGATAATTTTACAAAATTTACAAATATGTATGCATACTTCTTAATGCTTAGTCAGCTTACCACGGCTTGGTCATATGATTGTCGATTTTGTTTCATGCATTATAAAAAAGAATTATCAACAAGTCCTGTGTGTAAATGTTAATTAATATACACGGTTTTATAATCTTAAAAGCAAGACTGATGACCCCCCTTGATCCTGACTATGTTCCCTCAGGTTCTACGGGCTATGAACCACTACGGCCTACAACTTCTGAATCTAACAGACATATTCGACTCCGCAAGAGGGAGGAAGAGATGGCTAGAAAGGAGAATAATTCTGAAGCTGCCAGCAATTTAATAGAATTGTCTGCATCCCAACCCAACATTTAGTCTGAGGACCCAGTGCCAGACCTGCACGAACAGTGTATCGCCACAATCACTTGCCTTCAAAGGAAGAATGATCAGATTCAGCAGGAGTTACAGAGATTGCAAGCTGAAAATTAGGAATTAAGGGCAGCAGTGGAGAAGGCATCATTCGGACCAAGTCTCCTGAAAGACAACGACAGCAGGACAACTTCTTATACTGGACTGCTATCCTCTGCATGTTTTTTTTATGGTTAGTGAACTACGTTGCCTCAGTTTTACCGAAAAAACAATGTTTAGATTCTGCCAGCATTCTTTTAATTGTTTTGATGAAGTTGAGGATAAATGTATTGAACTTTGACCTGGCTGTTCGCTTTAAATGTTCAGAGACAGTGATTTCAGATGTAGTGAATAGTGCAATTCCATTTGGTGGTAGGACCTCAGACAAAATCATTACTCAACGTTCTGGGTGTCTGGACTTGATTAGTTATGTTGATCTTGTTCTAGCAGACAGAGGCTTCTTAATCTCTGAAGAACTTGTGTCAAGAGGTGCAACACTTGTCATCCCTGCCTTTACACGAGGACAAACTCAACTTAGCCAGAAAGACATTGAAAGGATAGGCTCTATTGCTAGAATGAAGATACATGTTGCACGTGAAATTAGACGCTTAAAAACATTCAAAGTTATCAATGGCCCTCTGCCTATGAATTTAGTCCACATGTTGACTCTGTTGTGACAATCTGTGCAGCCTTGTGTAACTTGCAACCAAGTTTAGTATCATAAAGATTTAAGACGCAACCTTTTGTGCTTCTCAATGTTAAAAGACAGTCATTTCCAAGAATTAGGTAAATACAATTTTTTTTTTTTTTGTTTTTTTTTTGTTTTGTTTTTTTGTTTTTTTGTTTTGTCTGAGCTATGTAGAAAATGACTCATGCAAGACTCAAGATTATGTTCATCAAGTGATTTAATTATATATATTATATATATATATATATCATTTACAGTATATACATACATGATATAACATGTGTAACAGGTTTTTATAAACTTGTAAAAATGTTTTATAACATGCACTGGAGATGATGTTAACATGTTTTTTGTTACTGTGAAGTGTGAACATAACAGCTGAAATCTAAATAACCCAGTCTATTTGTAATGATAATTACTTGCACAATCATGATTTGATCCAGAGCAGTGAAATTCAAAACTGCTGCTCATGCTCAGTTCCATCATGTCCATATACAATAAAGGTTTCTAGAAAGTTCTTGTCTAGATGATTCTAGCAGGTACCCAGCTTGTTTACATCCAGGTCATTCTATTAGTCGAGTTTTCTAGAAAAATCTGCCTAGCACTATCTACACATATTGTGACAAATAATTATAAACAAGTTTTTATGTAAACAATCAATATGACAATACATGTAAACACAGCACATTTGAATTTAGATCAATACACAACATTTATACATAACAGCAGGTATTTGACATGTGAAAAATGTGTATAAAGACAAAATACACAAATTTGCCATTGGAATTTACGTTCATGATATGTTATTGTTTAAATAAAAAATTCTTACTCTTTCTGTATGCGTGTTACAGCCACCGAATTCATAAGAGCGCGAGGGTACGCAGGTCAATTGTTCATGTGATATGGTTCGATAAAATGGGCGAAATATCTAACGATCTAGAATCGATGTCGAGACGATACAAACAAAATTCATTTATCACACCACATTGCTATAGATTTTCTTGTAGTTATAGGTAATGCAATGTATTTTTGTTTTGTATATGTTTTTATGTCAGAAAAGTGTTAAATGCTTTAAGAAAACACAAACAAATCAAATGAGATGGATTGCCTACATAATACGGACTTACTAAATTCAAAATTGGGTCAACTGTAACATGTAGGCCTATATCAGGATTGAGACTTTACAACTATTGGCTGATGGCGAAATGATTATGATGTCGAAAAGGTGCAGATAGTGCAAATATTAATTCTAACCTATCTGACCAAAGTCTTGTAGACAGTATATATTTTGTAGGGGAGTGAATGCGAACATTTGGGATTTTCTGTCAATAGACCATGTTGCCACTGTCTAATTCCAGCGCCTGTCAAAGTGTATTTTCAGATTCCACCCAAAAATGTATGATGTCTCACACAGGATACGGCAGAGCAGTTTATCCCTAAACACTCGCCCAAACGCCACAAAACTACCCCAAAACCTCCCTAAAAACATTTACAAACTACCCCAATCATCCAAATTCTTTTCTTCAACACTCAAAGTCTAATAAAATCCAAATATTACGTCACATCAAGACAAAGAAACAATCCTGGTTGCCATGTTCCGTTGATGATAATGGAGGGGAGATAACCCTTACATGTTGTCTGTAACAAATCATAGATCCCTGTCGATTCATTATTCTTGTTTATGTTTTATTTCAATAAAATCGTTTCCATTTTAGATAACATTGGTGGTCAATACATTTTTTTTCCGTTTCCATTTCATATACTATATAATGGCACACAAATATATAGTTTAGTCATTACGACAATGCTAGTGTATCTTTATGTTATGTAATTATTGTTGTAGATATATATATTCAAATTATCCATAAATGTAAGTGAATTAAATCAATAATTAATAAATGTTTAAATATATCATTCATACGGATCCTCTTTTATCTTGTGTGTAGGCACAAAGATTTGTGACCAAAATTGTTCAAAGATTGCCAGTATCTTTGTCAGTTGTAAATTCTTTATTCTTTATCATATTATGTGCTATATTATGACCTTCAAGGTCACGAGAAAGACACGCAGTCAAATGCTGATGATGGGAGTCTTCACGATGAAAATATAGACCGAGTGATGTAAAGGGGGATGTTGGGACTAATAATATCTTATATGATGATGACATGATTATCTCTTGTCAAAAGGTAAGTACAACATCACCCCATAAGATCATCTGATAATTCCTCATCTAGATAGGGACAGGGTGCTTTTTCATTTAAAGCAGTACCAGGAATTATGGCGTTTACGCCTAGACACCTGCAAAATGTTCCAAATGATCATCCTCCTCAGAGGGAAATATATCTTATATGAACACATTGTTGTACCGGCATCCTGGCAAACAGCTGCTGACAGTATTACCTGTTCTTATGCTGTAAAACCATTTAACAAGAAGTCTGTCAAACTGGCTCCTTATGAGTCCATAGATGTTAATGGTATGGCTATAGGCCATGATCCGGATTTACGTGATATGGAGGACATCGTTGTCATACGTGAGAGCGATAGCTTTCTCCAGTAACGTGGGTCCTGTTCGCAAGAAAGATGGAAGTCAACTGTTTTATATTGATTACCATACGCTGAACTCTCGCACCAGAAGAGATGTTTATATGCTCCCCCAGTTCGACTATACAGTCGACATCTTGTGTGGCTCAAGGTACTTTTCAAAACTGAACTTGCATTCTTGTTATTGGCATGTTGAGGTTGAGCAATCGTATATAGAAAAGACCACCTTTTCGTTAAGTAACCTGGGGTTTTGGGACACCAATTATACGGGTTTGGTCTGACCAATGCACCAGCTATTTTCCAGCGTTTAAAGAAATAAACATGGATGATATGCATCTCCGAGAGTGTCTTACTTTTTCTTGATGACATTATGATATTTTCAAGGACATTTGATGAGCACCTGGTTAGTTTCGAATCCATTTTTTACCAGACTCATGCAGCATGGCTTAAAACTAAACTCCCTAAGTGTGAGTTACTCAAGTCGTCAGTCCTATATCTCGGACATACAGTTTCACAGGCAGGCATAGCAACAGATCCCGAAAAAGTATCTTCCGGAACCAAAGAACGTAAAGGAATTACGTCAGGTTCAGTGGTTATTACAGGCATTTTATGAAAGATTACGCAAAAAATGTCAAGCCCCTTAATCAATTACTACAATGCCGTGGCATGAAGTTAAAAATAGATCCGTCAAGCTTCAAAGGTCTAAGTCAAAGCCTAAAGCTCAGTGGGTTTGGGGTACACTCCAACAATTAGCATTTGATATGATTAGGGAGGAACTGATTCATCCTCCAAGTTCTAGCATATGCAGACATGAGGGGAAGGAGAAGGTTATTGCTTATGCCTGTCGAGGCTTGAGGGTCATTGAACGGAACTATCCAGCACATAAGTTGGAGTTTCTTGCATTGAAATGGGCGGTTACAGAATAATTTCATGATTACCTTTATGGTAATGTTGAAGGTACAACAGACAATAACAAACATATGTCCTGGGTAAGGCCAAACTAGATGCCACCTCGCAGAAGTGGGTGGCAGTCCTGGCAAATTACTATTTTACTCTGAAGTACCGAGCTGGGAGAAACATTGCCGATGCAAATGGTCTCTTTAGAATGTCTCAAATTCAACCTGATGTTGTTCAAGTTATATGCCATTTAGCACTCTCGGTCCAACTGGCAGATAGTGTGTTGAACGCTCTTGTGGCTCATGTGGCCAGTGAGTATACGACAGAGCCCGATACGCTTACCATGGTAGACTGGGGAAAACGAACGAAAGGTTGACCCAGTACATGCTAGAGTTCCCGAACTTGTGAGACTTCTGGGGATGCTTGCCACCGTTGAGGAGCACATGAATCCTGACTGGGCAGCGTATATAGTGCCGCTTGTACAATCCTCCAATTCAACAAACAGTGATGCCACTGGATTTACACCACACTATCTAATATTTGGTTGGCATCCTCTGTTGTATGTAGATGCATTCCCCCATTCCCGTGGAATCAGAATCAAATTCTGCACTATTCTCTGCTGTCAGGAGGCGCTCTACTAGACATTTGAGAAATGGTGATCCCAACACCATTGGAAGCACTAAACCTACTACGGTATCAGTGAGGGTTGATTCAGGTACATTGGATCAGGGTAAAAGTCAAAATTCTGTGTTGGAAATATCAGTCCTGGAGATGTCTCATGGTTCTTCACTTGAAGCGGAGACAGATCCTGGTTCATTACTAGAGACCCTACCACAAAGAT